CTCGCTTCTCTTTCTCTCGCTCTCGCTTGTGCATCTTACGCTTCCAGTGTCCAGCTTGTTTTGCGTACTGTTGTGTTCTTTATTATTAAGTTTAATTCCCGATTTCCCGGTCGAGTGATTTCACCTATTCAAGGTGTTACAAAACAATCCTATCATCAAAGTGGCTGCCTCAGATTTAAACGGATGCCAATGTTGTATGCGACATTCAAGGCTATGCCACTAATTACGTCCGGGTGCAGCGTGGGCCTTTAGAAAAATGGAGACTTTCCAATGTTTTCACCTAAACATGACTTTTGCAGATTATATGTTGTAGTTTGCTAGCAGCTTTAAAGCTCAATGGCTGGAGCTTATGTATTTTTTGAGACTGTACTCACTGTATTGCCACGGCAAAATGTTTGCTGACGGCAATGTGTTTTTTGAATGTATCTACAAGAAGCCACGACACAAATCTGATTAATTTTAGAATGCAAAATCCAATACAGCTGTTTTATATTTGCTTTGCAGAATGCCTTTTCCATTATCCAGGCAGCGCCGGACCTCCTAGATAGCCCTTACATACGCTTGTGAACTTTCATTTCACTCAAAGTGATCTGCATTATCGACACATGCTCACTCGGACCGTTTTGATGCATCCAATTATCCGCTTGTGCATGCCTATATATTTCCCGGTAAAAGTTGGGAAAGCAGGGTAAGTTTCTGTTGTTTTGGAAAACCCGAGAATAGCATCCATGTTATGCGGCATTTACACAACCATGTGGAGACCTTTCCGGGGTGTTGTAGCGCTTCACCATGATATGTTACAACTTGGCAAGGCTTAGATGCTTTTCCAGGGGCTAGGTGATGATGGATAACGCTCATAATGGTGAACAAGGTTTATTCTGGCCTTTCTTTACCTCCGCCGGCTATTCGAGGGTTTCAAACTCACATAGCAGGACTGAGCATCCAAAGGCAAGCATAGGAGGCAGCGTCAGCTGGTGCGCTTGCACGAAGCTCTCATCATTCGATATTTCCTCTCAAACTAAGAGGTCCCAGGATACACAGTAGTTTCAACGAATGCATCAAAAGCTACGGGATATATAGCCCTAACGTAAAACTGTGGGATAATTATTCCCCTCTCCTCCAGGCATGTTCACTGCACGACATTGGCGTCAGAATGCTGTGCGTTTGTATGGGAAGTTTACTGCGTCGAATTCCGTCGGTTTTCATTGGTCGAACGGTCGATGTAAGATTCGCCGGATGACGAGTGACAGAGGCCCGACAAGATTTCATGGAAAAGTAATGGGATCTCTAACTACTTGACGATTCAAATATACGTAACTGCCTTTTCATTTTTGCACGCTCTGCAGATATTTGAAGGTCATGCTCCTCGTAGTTCACGACAGATAAAATCGCTGTCGATGTTATGTCAGACGCATTTCACGTTCAAGGGTACGATAGCGTACGTTTTTGTATCGTGTAAGGACTTGCCTAAACTCACATTAATGTCAAATCATAACGCGTTTGATGCAGTTGTAAGGGGTGAAATCAAAAGCAGACCGTCTAGGGTCAAACCAGATCAACTGTGCTCACCAAGGTTTGTGTAACCAATGTTGTGTACCTTGCCTGATCTGCTTGACGTTTTTTCACGTTAGCCGACACTTAATGCCGTTGGACAAGCACTATCCAGCACCGTTTGTTTATACTGCCTACTATCCTTGGTGTTGAATTTAGCTGTGTGGAGCCTACGCACACCCACCCCCACTGGAGGAGTGGCATCAGAGTACAGCCGAGGCATATGGAAAGCTGCCTCTATGCCGCTTTGGCACACATTGTTTCAGATGCAGAAAGGGGCCGAAATTTACTGTTTTTGCCATTTGCATCTGATTTGACTCATCAAAGATTTGTTACTATGACGTTTTAATCATCGTGCCTCGCGTCACACGCATGCAACACAAGTCGAGCAGCACCTTTTTTTAGTCAGTTCGCCAAGCAGGAACTTTGCCCCATCGTATGTTCACATTGTGGAACCCAAACCTTCCCCAAAGTCGTCATGTGTGCGTATACACCTTACCCCTTACTTACCCCTTCCTCATGGGCAGTTTTTGGCCTCGCGCCAAGCCACTTGACGACAGACAAGGTGGGGAAAGACCAGACGACAGGTTAATAGCCTCAGGGCACGCAGGATAATCTTGAGGGTCGTATGATGTCAGTGCCATGGAAACCGGGCGGCTTGAGGTAGAGTTTGCGAACATCGCCGCCCAAATATGCTCCTCGAGACCAGCGAATACCTTTTGTGATGATCCATATGGGCGAAAGCGTAACACCAAGCATTTCATTATCCGTGGCATGCATTCCACAACTATGCAGCAGTCATCTTCGCCATGGGCTGTGTACAGCAAGGCCGCATGGCCGCATGACAGCCTGCCGGTAGCAACTCACATGCCCAATTTGCGCTGAAGAAAATTGGGAAGCGTGCGACCACGACTTGCGTGGCGGCCATGCACGCACTGGCCTCCTTGGCCTTGGCTCATGGCTACCGGGCTGCGCCCCAAATGAAAGCCCATGAACATTGAGATAGTTGGGAACGAACCGGCTATCCACTCAGCGGGCACATCTGCAATACTCTCTCCGTTTTGTGCCGATTGCATAGAACTAGGGCAGTGTGCTCCGGGGCTCGCCAGCTGTGCCTGGGACTGTGGCGCTGTCGTGGCGCATGCGCAAAGCAAAACAAACAGGCGCTTGGCAGCCCACAGTCAGCTAAGAGACCGGGCGCATCATTCCGTGTCAGCACGCGCCTGTAGCTGGGGATGGATTGGAATACAAGTGTCGCAGCCTATTCAGCATTATTTGTTGGTCGCTTTACACTCAACACCGCGTGCTGGAGAGTCAGACGCTCTTGCTAGCTAGGGAACTGTCTATAACTGCCCATGAAAATACGCATGCATACTGCGGCCCACTCTCCATTCCTACGCCACTGCCTTTATTTAAAACGTGAAGCGCTCGATGGAAGGTGGTGAAATAATAACAACTGATATAGCTAGAAAAGTATATGCGGCTTATCAGCATTTGACGCACTCCCATCCTGCTCGGATGCCAGGGCCAGCCAGTTGCAAAAAACATGGTTATAAAAAGGAAAAAAAAATTCGAGACGACTGTCACCCGAACAATGTCATCGGAGCCCACGTGTATGTCATATTTCATCGGAGCCCACGTGTATGTCATATTTCATCGGAGCCCACGTGTATGTCATATTTCATCGGAGCCCACGTGTACGTCATATTATCGCAGGCCTCTGCATTATTTCTTCAATCAGGATCGAATACCCACATAGCTGGTGATGGTGGTGGTGATAGTGGTGGTGATAACTGGTGATGGTGGTGTGGTCTGAATTTGACCAAAGTGAGGTGTTGAGAGGAGAATACAAAAATCTGACCAAATTTCCCCCAAAACATATGAATTGTGCTGTTTCGATTTCGACCGCGTTTAGTCCAGGGACCCAAGACGATCAGTCCAGGGACCCAAGACGTTTAGTTCAGGGACCCAAGACGTTTAGTCCAGGGATCCAAAACGATTGTCAGAGCCCAGGTGAGTCTTTCTATGGCCCCGACGCGGGCACAACGGGCCTGTGACTCGTTGCCCGCGCTGACAAGGCCGCTGATCCAAAATGCACGTTGGTAACCGAAATAGGCTGTTGCCCAAGTTGGATGCCACAGTGAAGAGCATTTCCTTGTTAGGAAAGGTTCTGAACAAGGCTGAACCCATCAGAGCTTCTAAGAGAGGTCAACTGCCATCTGAAATGTTTATTTCTCCCCGGGGGGGGGGCAAGTTCCGCAACCTCTATCGGCTCTGAAACGGGAGGGGAGCTGGGAAACAGAAAATATAAAAAGTGAAAATAACTTATTTCTACCTTTTCAAAATGAAACAAGTCCATGCTCGTACCACAAGCGTTCAACATGGTGAGAAACACTGATACGGGGAACTGGGAGACTGCACCCATGGAATGGGGTACCTCACAAAAATAAGTTATTTGATTAAATCAGCGAAGATTTACCCAAAAATCACGAAGTTCTTCGAATGGGCCTAAACGCATACTAAAGGAAAATATCATGCACATTTAAAACCATATATCCCCCGACACCACATGACGTGCACCTGCATGGCCAAAACTCAAACACCAAGCTTATTTCTTCGGTGCCATACCTAGGACCAACTTGAGGGCTGGGAACCGTCGGGGCCTCGAGCACACCGTCCAACGCAACCTCCATCGCATGAGCATCGCTGACGTGGAGCCACCGGTCTGACTCCAATATCGGCTTCGACTCCGGCTCCAGCTCCGGCTTCTGCTCCCGATTCTGCCTTTGCTCCAGTTTCGACTCCTGCTCCTATTCCTGTCCCTGCTCCTGCTCATGCTCCAGCTCCGACTCGGAATCAAGAGCTGGGTGAGGAGTCGGACAGGGGTAACATGCTGTGACGCGAGCCCAAGGCAGCTGGCATGCAGTGTCGGTAAGGCCGGTGATCATGGCAGACCTGGTGAGTTGCTCTGGGATGGCTTGTTCGAACAACTCAATAACAGCACACAGGCAGTGGTAGTATATTAAGTTGTTTGCAATCAACCAGTGAAGCTCTCTTAGCATGCCATTAATGTGATCATGTTATCGTCCATCGCTGATCCCTCTGACACATACCTTTGGCGTTATCATTGTGGTATCCTGTTGGCAATCTGCACATGTTCGGAATATTGACCTTTCTATAATGAAGTGGTCGTTGCCATCTTCCGTTTTACTCTAGTGTATCTTTTAGTCTTCGGAATGGAAAGGGATCCGAAAGAACTGTTTGAACGGCAGGGGGCAGGGATGGAAGGTAGGCAGTAGGCTCGAGCAGAGTTTTAAACGGTGCTAAGCCAACACGCAGGGAGAGGCGTGAAGGGTGTTGAATGCATCCCTGCACCTGCATATCGAACCGCATTCCAGAATGCAGGGACCCACCACAATGACCAATAGTATGCAGTGGGTTCCCAAGGTGACCAAACATAATGATGCATGAGCAAGGTAACCGTTCCACAGATGGTGAGAGGCTTCCAAAACTTTCAAAAGCACGATACTGTTACTGGGCATGGGCTTCTAGTTGAAAGGAATACAAGTTTACGGGGGGGGGGGGGGGCGGGGTTGCGGCTCGAGAAGTACAGGGGACCAAACGAGTTCAGTCAGCAAATTACATTACATTACATTTACTGAAGCCAGGCACGTTCAGATCGCCGGAAAGCTCAGAGACTTCAGAACCAGCCTGTGACATCCAACGTTCTTAAGTGAAGCGGAGGCTGATCGCTTAAAAACGACCCGCAACGCAACGACACTACCGAACTGCTGCGGTACAGCAAAACGACCGGAGTCTTTGAAAAAGGAAAGAGGCTGAGGGCGTGGGCATCACTGCCTTAGACGGGTACTTTAGGAGAGGCCGGAGTGACCGCGTTTCCAGAGAAGTCTGTCGCTGACCGCTCCGGGGCCCAAAAGAGGGTGGTGCAGTCGCTCTCCCCCCCCCCCCCTCCTGTTGCGTCTTCACGGGCTAAATTACTGGCTGCTGATAGGCAGCAAGTATCCATGACCACGCGTGTCCATCCATAACATGAACAAACATACACAACATCCACCTTCGGTGGTCCCAAGCTCTCCAAAGACACGTCACATGGCCATTTGGCTGGTATTTGGGTTTTAGGGATGCGTATATAGTCAAGTTACCACCATGTTGAGCCTGCCACAGGGGCGGATCCAGGATTTCGTCAAGGGGTGTGTCCTGCAACATTGTGAGGCCCCCTGGAGTTTGAGGCTTCCTTCCCAAAAAATATCCTTGCATTTCGGTCATTACTTTTAAAGACAAGCCGTATTGATATATATATATATATATATATATATATATATGTATATATGTGTGTGCGTGTGTGTGTGTTGTGTGTGTGTGTGTGTGTGTGTGTGTGTGTGTGTGTGTGTGTGTGTGTGTGTGTGTGTGTGTGTGTGTGCGTGTGTGTGTGTGTGTGTGTGTGTGTGTGGTGTGTGTGTGTGTGTGTGTGTGTGTGTGTGTGTGTGTGCGTGTGTGTGTGTGTGTGTGTGTGTGTGTGTGTGTGTGTGTGTGTGTGTGTGTATTTACTTATTCATTTATGTAATAAATACGAAAACCCATCTTACTGTGCACAGCCCTATAAAGCTAGGCGTGCTACGCATTTATACTCATAAAGCTCACGAATTTTCAACAGGGCATTTTAAATGCTGCGATTTTAAGACTGAGTGCTTCGGAATAACGGTCAAAGTAAACTTGAGTTGGCGGCTAACAACCATTAAAACCAATCATGGACTTGATTCCTAGCTTATGTATTTACGACTAGCCGGCAATGCGATGCAATCAGTTGATGGCTGATGACAAATGCAAAATTTTTCTTTTGTTGCAAAGAAGTACAGCATATCCTAGTATTCAAAATATGTTGAGAACGTGATGCACGAGTATAATAAGTGTCACACACTCAATAGCTAATGGAAATGACACAAACGACGTTGGCGGCATGTAAAATTAGGTTCGGCAATTGCGCAAAAAAATTCCCCGGCGCATATTCGACTACTGCTCTAAAGCGAACCTGCCAAGGCCAATAGAGACGGAACATGGGCGACCATGGGTGCCGCAGGAGGCCAACAATGTGGCTCCCGTCAACAAGTATAGGGCCCTCAAAGCAAGCAAAAAGAACCCAAGACCAACGTGGTGGGCCCCTAAACGATCGGTAGTGCCTCGGTAGGCTGACATGTAAGGCGCCGGCCATAGCACAGGACCCGCTGAGCAAATGGGAATTATCCAAGACCATAAATTAATAGAGGAGAGGCGGGAGAAATGAGACACTTTTGCACCTTCAACCTTGATGAGTCATTGCAGCAAAAGTATGAAAGCTAGGTAACATTGCACCATACTAATAAATAAATTGGATATTTGTTTACATCATACTAATAAGTAAGTTCCGCTTTGTGGTAGGATACGACTCGCGTGGAGCAAAAACAAAGACTTTCATTTACAGGGAAATCGGGATGCACGCAGGAGAATCGGGACAGACGTGAATATGAATTGGGACATACTAAGGAGCATTGGGACAACATTTCTTCTTGGCTACATGTTCTATAATTAAACTGCAATTGGCAAAATGAGTGCGCTGCATGGCTATCTACTTGCGTTCAGGAGCTTGTCAATGGTCGCGGCGACGTTTCCTTCCGCTGAAAATGGTAGCATATCAGATTCATTTATCTCGCGTTAAAACTGAGACACAACATTTTAGAACGTGAGTTCAAGATATATTTTCCACCTCCAAATAACCATCCTGTTTTTGGCAGAAGAACCACAACAACGGGAAGGTATTTCTAACATAAGATCCGGCTAGTAGTAATGCTAGCAGTCTACACAACAACGAGACGACACCGCCACACAACCTGCAGTCGTAATAATCACGTTAAATCATCACAGCCAATGCGCTACTTGCGGCACAGCGGATCATATGACTATCAACCTTGGCAGTCTAGGCACAAACTAGGCAACGACAACGGTCGAAAACTTCCTACATATCGCACAATCACGTATTAGCACAGCCAGTGCGATACTTGTAGCACAGCGGATCGTAAGACTCACAGTCTCTGCAGTCTAAGCATCAAACAGGCGAAGCAACTGTCGCAAAACTTCCTAAACATCGTGCTACTCACGTTGAATCTGCACAGCCAATGCGTTGATGGCAACACAGCGGATCACATGACTAACAATATCAGTACCTATCCTAGGCACCCATTTAACAACGCAAACTGTCACAAAACTTCCTACACATCGTACTAATCACGTTAAATCAGCACAGCCAATGCGATACCCGCGACAAAGCTGATCATATCGGATCACAGCGGATGAACGGATCATCAGCGTCGGCAGACGTTACATACAAACTGTGCCTGCCAGGTTGTTGCGTCGGCACACGGCAAGCACGCCCACTTTTTCCATGTTGTACACTGGATCCACGATTCACAGCTGAGCCTATACCGCATCCCACAATACAGACACGACTTTTTATCGTCAGTCTTTGGCAATTCCCTTGCACCTCCCAGCTTGCTCTTCTTTCCTTTCGTGTTAGCGGTGTTGCTCTTGGTATCGAACAGTCGCTTTGACACGCGCTCGTGTTTGGCTCGCGACTTTCGGGTCTTCTTCTCTTCCTCTTTTTTTCTCGGCAGCTTTGGTGTACTTGTAGCTATCATGGTCTCCCCTTTTTTCGCCCTCGACGACTGGAAGTGTAACGAAGTGTAAGGGCACGGTTATGGAACATAGGCATAGGCATTGGACAACATAGCTCACTGGAGGATCCTTCGGGATGCAAAA